TTTTACTTAGTAATTAGTAAAAATTTCGTTTTTCGAATTCTACGCATCCTGAAACGTGAAACCTCAAATTTTGAGAGAGGGTTAAGTTTTTGAATTTTTGGTCGATCATAATGGTTGGTTATTGATAATAATAAACCAAAATGTCTTTGTTACACTATTTGTTTATAATTGGTACGATATTCTTATAAGATTTCAAGCATAAGTATGCAAAATACTAGTAAATGACTAATCTGTGAACGCTCCGCCAACTTCGGAATCATCAGGACAACAAAAAAACCATTAACTAATCATCAAATTCATCACAACCCACTTCTTCTGCTTTCTGTTATACATATTGCACACATAACCTCTCTGGGAATCATTGCTGTAAATCGATAATTGTTATTATTATTTATATAGTTGTATTAAATTATTATAAGAACAGATTGCCGAGAGGGACCCCGAACCAGACCTAACAGTAAATCCGAGGTTGGGGCACGCGCATTAACAAACCAGTCGCGGGCCCAACCGGTTCCAGCACTTTTTGGATTTTTTATTTTGTTCCAGAGGCTGTGTACCCGCTGGAGTGTACCGTCTGGAGACTGCGAGGACCGCTCACGAATGCAAATCAGCTGGGTCGTGGCGGGGAGCCAGAACACAAACAATAGCCTCACACGTGTTGAATAATTTTTAAATCTCCCTGTTTATTTACTGAATACAAGAGTGATAAAATAACAGTGGTTATGAGGGAATGTATTGAACTGACCGTATAATAATTTTCTAAGAATATTTCCATTGTAAAATCTGAAAAGAAAAAAAAAATGGAGGAGGAGTTGATCGGGAGGGAGGGGTGCGGTCAAATAAATACTAAATTATAGAAATAGTATTATTAAATTATTATGCCGACGTTTCGACCCACCTTGCAGGTCTATATAAATAGTCTTTCTCTTCTTAAATTCTTTTTTTTTTTCTTATAGAGTTATATATATTTAATAAATCTACCCTAACGATATTATAACTAATTTATCTTTATTTTTTAACCTTTAGTCCCGTTATGTGTTTACTTATAGTTATCAAATGTAACCTCCACTAGCTTGTTATCCACTGATATCTTATTATTATGTTATATTATTCTTATTTTAGCTTTACTATATCAATTCTTATTCAATTTCCAATCTCTGTATTCGTTAACATTCATTTGCTTTATATGTTAACCTACAGTTATCAAATGTAATCTTTATTAGTTTGTTATAAACTCATTTCTTATATTTTATCACAATCTGTTTACTTTTAACTTACATACTATATTCTCCTTTGTTTTCTATTTTTATTCATACTTGTTTTCTATTTTTATTTGTATCTTCTATATATATAATACTTGATATTCATTTTCACCCATTTATTGTTTCTTTATCAGGCAATTTTTTCTTTTTTAATATCTACTTATTATTCATTTATTTTATTTTCACCATATACCTACAAGGTGGGTCGAAACGTCGGCATAATAATTAAATAATACTATTTCTATAATTTAGTATTTATTTGACCGCACACCCCCGGTCAATTCCTTCTCATATTATATCACGGTCAACCATCTCTACACCATTAAAAAAAATTGAGGTTTTACGTTTCAAGATGTGTAGAATCCAAAAATCGAATAAATAAAAAATCCGTCCGTTCACAGTATGTCATCCGCGGTTTTTCTCCGATACTTCTGGCCCGATTGTTTGGATGATCTTCGGAACTCGGCATTACCATCCGCCCTTTCCTTTCAAGACGGAAAACTTGTGGCGCTGTACACTAGCGCCTGCAGAGATGTACTGATTTCAATGAAACTTGGCCATGATATTTTCCTGGAAGTCTTTTAAATTGATGTATATGATACTTCACCGAAAAGTACTTTTCTTTCAAGGTGGTGTCCAAAAAACCTGTACCGTGTAAACTATAGCGCTTATACGAATGTACCGATTCTATTTTATTTCATTTTTTAAAATTTATTTATTGAAAAATATGATATTCTTCAAAGCTTTTTTAATTTATCTATATTTCATACTTCAACGAAAAGAAGCTGAAAAAGTTACGAGGGATGGTAGAACAAAATGCCGATATGCTTTGTTTTCGTTTTTGATTTTTGGAAAGTCTCGTATCAATCTAGATTGTTATGTTCAATGAAGTTACTAATGATGAAAAAAAGTTATTTAGGCCAATATTAGGAATAACTTTTTATATGTTTTCCTCTAAGTGACAAGAAAAGTAAATCTGTATTCGATAAGTAACTTTTTTGAAATAATAAACTATTGCTTAATAATTTGCAATTTTTTTTCGGATAAAGCATTTTAAATTAAATGATGATCTTAATTTAATAATGCTGTTTAATTGAAGGAAAAAGTAGATACAAACATTATGGATACTATTTTTCCTTGGTACATGAAGCTTCTAGATTTAGTCTCTTTGGCTTTGTATATAGTCGTTTTAATAAGGTTCGTATTAGCCAATCCTACATGAAATTCCCTTTGATTTGATACCTCTCTCATCCTTGTCCATCCCTCCAGAGAGCCTGAAAATGAATCTAGACTACCGTATCATATGTAGTGTAGATTGTACTTGATTTATTTCATTTGCATCCTTTCTAATAAAATATATACTGTCTTATCTTATATACATTGTATAATGTAGTCCCGGATTGCTTATTTCTTTATTTTTATCAATTTTCTCATTCCTTTTTTATGATTCCTTGATGGTTTATAATTTATAAGTAAACGTAGGCCGCCATCGAAGCATTAAGGTAGGTGTAAAAAGCGACAGGTGGGTACAAAAACTCCTTGGGATATTGTCCGGTGATCTGTGAAGTTTAGGAAGTGACGTACGACCTTTTTTAGTTCAACGTTAATGGGTGCCTGATCGAGGTATTGTCTCCAAAGTATAATCGAGCTGAATCTCCTTTGTTCTAATAGTTCATTTTATTTATTTAGAATAAATCGTTTTCTTTAACTTAATGCCGACGTTTCGGTCAAAGTCTGTATGTTATCCGTATCTCATATGTACGTCTTTGTTGTATGTATATAGTAAAAAGGGCCAACTTTCTAAACTCATTGCTGAGCTCATCGATGGAATAGAAATCATGGGACTCAGTGTGTTCCTTTATTTCCTTTATTTAGCAATTGAATCGCCAATGTTTCACTGGCTTATAGGGTCTTACTATTATCATTTTTCAATTTACTTTAAATATTTTATCATTTTGCTGATATTTCATTTAATTTATTTTTATTTATTGTACAAATGGTGGGAATGAATTTCTGTATCACTATTACTTATGTCCTTACTTGTGAAAATAATATAATATTATTCAATAAAGAAATGTTTTTTTTTCTCTCTTCATATTTTTATCTTCAACTGTCATGATCTTGACAATAAGCAGATGGGATGTCATTGTAAAGAAAATGGCTTTAAATGTTTTAAATAAAATAAAAAAATATTGAAGGATATTTATATTCAGTTTATATTTATTTTTGTTTTAAATTTTAAAAAATCAGTAAGTCGGTATTTCTTTTTTTTATTTTTCCTGTGTTTTGTAATCTTTCGCTAGAATCCATCAAGTCGTTCCTAAACTCAGTATAAATGGCTCAATCGATTGATAAATTCTTTCTGTTGAATTCGCTTTTAGTTTAGGAACTTGTTCAATGATTATATATTAGAAAATCTTACTAGACCCAGAATTATATGTTAAGGAGCCTCTATAACTTGGGAAACTATTTCTTCCAATTTTTTTATGGGGTGTATTTATTATTTGGTTATAATTTGCAGAGTTATAAAATAATTTCTAATTTTTTTTTTAAATTCTTATATTTTCAGATAAATAAATAAATAATGCGCACAAAATTGTTTTCATTCATTTTTTTTCTAATGCTAATGAAGAGTAAATACTAGGAAGTAGTGAATAATTTAAAAATACCAACAAAGCTGACTAAACAATGAAGTTCCATCATGCCTCTCGTAACTACCAAACTAGTTTCGTCATTTGTATAAGTGGAAGACAGGCGTGTAACTATAAACCATTGGTTTGTAACTTGTACGTGACACTGTTGGGTACTCTATGGAATTCAGTTACACCGATTGAGCTTTTTGTCATTTCACGCTAGTTATAGAGCTTCAGACAGTAAATGCTTATTTGCTAATAGGTGTTATCAATTTTGAATTTTTAGTTATACTACCAAGGATAGTTGTATTCAGTGGAATGTTGAGAATTATTATAGATAGTACTTTAACGTGCAGTATTAAATGGTTAAATACAATCTGATTATCAGATTTTTTTTAAAGTGAAAACTCTTTTTTCACTTTTTTTGTGGAGATTGAATTAGATTTAGCCGTCAGATTTCGGATATGTAACACTCGGTTAAAGTCGACTGGAGTCGACTAATTGAAGTGTTTTTGCATATGGATTAAAATATCTCAAATACTAAAAATCGAACCTGCATATTGTTATATAGGACCGAGGGAAACGTTCATCATTTCATCCTCTTTAAAATGAGCTATTATTCAAAATTGTACCTTAACGCGACAACGTGTTAGAGAGGTTAAAAGAAAAAAATAGTGTCGAAACCCATATTATAATGAGTTTTATAGATTAAAGATAATGATTTAATAGATTAAAATATCTCAAAATTAAAAATCTGACCTCCATACTGTAAGCGAGGGAAATGTTTAGCATTTCATTTCCTTTATATTGAGCTATCCTTATAATTTATATTCCATATTATTAATCTCCCCTTGTTGATGTTTTCACTTGTCTATGTTTAAAGCACATACCTTAGTTTTTTTTTACATTTTGCTGGATTTTTGTCGGGGTCAACCCATGAGCGTAACCTATTAATTACAATGATCAATTTATTGCGAAGTTACTTTTTTTTTCTTATGAATATATTGAGGAGTTATCTTCATAACTCTATAATAACTTATCTATCTTCATTTATTTATTTATCTATCAATTTCATTATTATAAACATTTTATTTATAACAAATAGGTGCGGCAGGAGTACGTGAAGTGGAGTCATGGCTCCGTTGAAAGAGGCCATATTTTCCAAAGGACTCCTGAATCGGCCAGGACAGAACAATTGTTTTCTCAACAGCGCTGTTCAGGTTAGTCTATTTATATATATATATATATATATATATATATATATATATATATATATTATCTGTTTTAAAAAGTATATAAACTATATAATAATTTAATTTATGATAACTCCAAAAGTCATTGTTTTCACTAATTAGATTGAATTAGGATTCAAAATATTTAAATTATATGGTATAGTCCAATATTGGGAAAGCTTTTTATGAATAGAGATTGCAGTAAGGTTAGGTAGTGCTAATGGAGGTTGTAATAATTCTTTATATTTTACCGTCGTTATTTTTATTTATCACTAAATACACCCACATACATACCATGTGTCAATTTAATTCTATTGATTTCCAAATTTACTTTACTTAATTAATTATAAATTAATTAAATGTAGCACGAGATTAATAAATATCGTGCAAAAGCCTTTTGAGGCTGCAACTACGAGGCCACAAGCGGCCTCCGAGCCCATAGTATCGTCCATAGTTTTGAGAATTTCATAATAAAACCTCAAACGTCATTGATATTGGATATACTTTACTGGATTTTTGACTTTCTTCCTAACGAACCTTTGGCATGTTGCGGGAGATGTTTAGTTTTATAATTGCGTACTTGCATGAATTCAAATTCTATGCGTCGTTAAAGATAATGCTTATAGCAATAAAAACGCGTCTAGTTATTACCTTTGATTAATTCATGTTGGGTTTCCACCTACAAAACTTCCATTCAATATCTTTCATTTCAAATATATTTCCGATTTTTTTCTCAGTTTTTTTTTTTTTTAACTTTTATTATGATATTTACAACTGTATTAGTATGAATACATCAAGTAAATGTGTACAGAGAAATATAATCACATGAAACACGCTTGTTGAGAAACTACCCACTGGTAGCACTCTAATAATTTGTCTACATGAGAAGATCACAAAGCCATCATCTTTTCAGACGCCTCGGAGAGTTATCAGGAATCGAAGAGGAAGCAAGTTTAGAAACAAGAGGATTCGGATGGTTATGAAGTTTATTATGGAAGGATAGGTATCTGGATTTGGCCAAATCGGAAACATATGGAACATTGAGGTCTTTATGGATTATTTTATTAGTGACAAAGTAAGGAGCATTGAGGATTTTACGAAGGATTTTGGATTGTAAGGATTGGATGCGAGAGGAATTCGATGGTTTAGTGGAGCCCCATAGCTCAACTCCGTAAGTCCAAATAGGTCTTATTATAGTCAAGTATATGAGTCTTTTGTAATTAATGGGAATCTCTCGAGTTTAAAATTAAATAAATGGATGTTTATGAACTGAGAGATATTAATTTGACAGCATCGTGTTTGGAAAGGGTATAAGTCACACTAACGCCAACAACGCCTTGGGACTGTTATTTCAAGTTTTTAGCTAAATTTGAACTACTACTATTCTTTAAAATGTGTTATCTCAATCTCGTCCTTAACAACTTGAATTCTATTTAAACTCGAATTTACTTGAAAGTATCCAGTTCATAAATACTCATTTATATCAACTGATATAAAATTTCAAAGAAAACCTTCCTAAAATAATTGAAATATATGTGAAATAAGCTGTACTTTATTGAATAAGCTGTACTTATTCAATGATTTCTTTATTGATATATAGACAATATAATTTCCTTTCATATGACTATAAAATATCACAGTGCAAAAAAGTAGAACTCCTTCTATATTCTGTTTATGGCTTTGAAGGCAAGGCACGCGTCCAGGAGGTCACAGTCGATATCTCCATGATTGCAGAGTAAGCACGTTTTTTTCACACTTTACCGCTATTTTGATTAAATTAGCCTGCAAAGAGTTTTGCTCTGTAAGAGTCCTGAAACAAACCTCTGCGTATTTTATTGGTAGGTTCTATGGGAGTTTATTAAGTGTCTTGCATGAGAAATTTTTTTTCTGGCTATCATAGTGTTTATGATATGTGACGCCTCGGTTTTAAAAAGTGTCTTTGTGATACGTTGTTCAGTATCGATCTCCCCAAAACCTTTTATGGATTATACTTTAATTAAATTTACTTTTCATCATAATACGCGTGCACCTGCCCTATCGTGCACCCCCTCCCCCCCCCCATATCCCTATAAATTGCATATCGTTGTGTTCCTTGTAATTATTTATGTAACTAGTTTCGCACTTTCCATCTTTATTTCTGCACAGGGAATAATGCATTCCATATTAAAATTTATTCCGCAATTTCATAACAATAAGTTATGTAACTATTTGTTACATGTAGTTCAGATTAGGTGTATATTATTTTAGTTTATAAAACAGGTATTGATTGATATGACTCATTTCCTGGAAAGTATATACAATATAAATTACCTCTAAGAATCAGTAAATATGCAAAACAAAGTGTTAAATTGCAAATATTAAATAAAAAATTCAAGATATTCAGCAAAGTAATTTTTAATTAAGTTTTATTATTATGATTATATCAGTTTTACCATACATTTCTACTTAAACGATCTCCATATAGAATAAAGTAAGTTAAATACAAAAATGAAATAAAATAATAAAAATAATTTTTTTTTTAAATTGTTTAAATTTTTTTTGACAATTAAATGATTGTATTTATATTTGTTCGTTGATAAAACGAATATAATGTACCAAAAACGGTATTACATCACTATAACTAAGCCATTTATGTGCACAGAATGGTGTGGTAGAATGTTGTTGGCACCTCCGCCGGCACCGCTTTTCTTCCGCATAAGTGCATTTTCTACGGAACTGCTTCAAATATTTTTAAAAGTAATCAATGTTTTAGAAAGAAAAACATATTGTCTAGATATTTTATTTTAGCACATTTTGCGTTATTGTTGGCCGTTTAATTACAAACGATGCTTAATTTTCAACTTAAAATTGTTGACTTTACTGGTGTTTTTTATAGCCTAAGCTAATTATTTTTTAATATTAGTTCATGTTTTCTTATTCTATGACTATTCAGCTTTAATAAAAGACCAACCATGAGAAAATTAAGCCAATTGCTAATTCTCAGTAACCAAAATAAATAAAGTCATAATCGTCAATTCGCCATCTTTGGACGCCATTTTGGGGCAGTGCGTTCACTTTTTTTGTGGGAACATTGGCTTTTTTTTTAATAAATAGTTACAAGGAACACAACGATGTGCAATTTATAGGGATGTAGGGGGAGGGGTGAGGGGAGGGGAGTGGACGATAGGGGGGTCTGGCCCACAGACTATAACGTATTCTCCTGTTTTTTCTCAGAGATATATCGTACGGGTTGAACCGTTTTGTACCTGCAGCTTTCAGAATCGATATCGAGGTGTCCCCAACAAACTAGGACTAGTTATCGAGTACTCTTCATAGGCGGAACTTCTGAAGTATCCTCGCCTCCACAAGGTGCACAATAATCGCCGCCATCTGAGAAAATGGGTACTGTTACTTCCTGATGGTGATCCACCTCTGATGGTACCAACAGGTGAGCCTCTTCACGGCTGACTCACCAGCAGGTGCCCCCTTCCGGCCAGGTACCCCTTGTGATCCAATTAGATGTGTCAAGGTTGTAGGGCAGGTGGCCAATATAGTACCCGATATATCTATCCATAATTCATGCATGTATTTATCCATTTACGAAAAATTATATCTCGTTTCATTTTGGAACATCTTGTTTTCAATAACAAGACTAACTCTCTGAAAAGGTGGGGACAAGACATGCCATTAAACAAGTTTTTACGCTGATAATTTCCAACTTGCGATTTGACTTTAGATCTCAAATATCGTCTGGCTATATCATTTTATTTTTAATTAATTTTCTGTTGATCCGTCTTGCTCTTTACTCAAAATACTATAGGTTAGCTTAAATCGGTCGTTAGATTATTGATATAGTGATACATATGTGATATAAAAAAAGAACATGTTATGCAAATCCGTTGGTTAATACAACTAAATTACTACCCGCATGAATCGTAACAACTTTCACGCATGTAACCCGGTGTAAAGGCCTTTTTAAACTAGTATTTATTTTAAAAAAATTATACTTTGGTTTCGTTATCCGATATCATAATTAAGAACAATTACAGACTGAGCGAACTCGAAAGTTCGATTTCTTTACCACCAACAGAAAACCACCGTCTTCCCAAATAAGAAAGATCAGCCTTAACGCAATCCTTTCACTTACGTTTCTTTCTACCCATCTTATCCACATGATACAAACAGTTCTATTAATTTTAAACTATTTATTTATTTAAAACTAATAATCTTGTTATTAACAATACTTATTACTTTGATTTTGATCTCTGTACTCTCGTCCACCAATGTTTTTTCTAATGATTATCTTGCTCTATATTATGCATAATGATACTACATTGAACAGCTCTCTTTTGTGGGACTGCAAGTAACCTAAGTCCCTCCTCAGAGATTTAATAAACAGTTAAACTGCTTTTACGACTACTTCATCGCTTACTAAACAAAGGCTAGAAATTACCATTTTATTATTAAAAAGTCTTTAACATGGCAATAATTTGGTCTATTTTTAGATACACATAGACCAAAAAACGGACATTTGTTCCGGAATCAATATCTATCCTACCTTACAACTTCTAAAACTTCTGGTGCTGGTATTGGTGGTGAAATCAGTCTGGGATTCTGGACTTAGTTAACCAGAATGAGAGTGTCAATAATCATTTGTTGAGATTTTCACGGGGCTCTGTAATTTAAATGTCAGAAAAGGATTATGGGGTTGGCTGGAGTTAGATTGTGCTAAATGATTAGTACGATGAGTAAGATTATGATAAATTTAGGTGGACTTCAAGTTTCACGAATAGGCCTGTTTAAGTTTCTCGACAAGTCACTTTTATGAACTCACTTTGGCCAGAAACTTGACGTAGTAAAACGGTTTTTTTTTTAGGTTGCGGGACCAAATCGAACCACCATGTTAAAAGTTTTTGTTCAAAATATGACATCGCTCCTTGTGCAAAGAAAACATAATATTCTTCAAGACATATTGTGTATCCCGCCATTTTTTATTATATTATTGTGAT